CCGGAGCCCGGGGCTTTGGGGACCCTGAGAGTTGTGGGCCCCACCTGCTACCCACATCTCTGACCAGAGGATCCACTTTCTGTGAAATTTATATGTAAAAAATAGATATTTAGTTTCAGCCCTTGTTCTGAACCTTGGCTACAGGTCAGGGTCACATGGAAACTGATTAAAATGATAGATTCCAAGACCCCGCCTCAGGCCGCTACTGAATTAGCCTCTTCTAGGAAGCAGGCCACAGGGCTCTGCCATTGTTTCTTTTTTTCTTAACTCCTAAGTGATTTCGATGTTCAAACAGGATTGAGAACCACTGGGCTATAGTTCAATTCGTATTACGATAAGATCTTACCCCGATTTCTCACCTTAGGCTATCAAGTGGGCATTGCTGCCTCGGTTTACCCAAAGTGATCCCTCTCTAGGAGGCTAAAGAGAAGATTTGAAGCTGCCTGAGAGTACAGAATGCATTATTTTCAATAGCCATCTCTACTGCAATGGGCCTTCTGAACAAGATGGCTCCCCTGCCTGAAACCCTCTCCATGGTCGGAATGCCAACAGGCTAAGACAGCCCAGGTCCCTCCATGTCCTCAGCAACACCAGCAGTACAGAAAAGAAACCTGGAGCCACTCCATAGCTTGCCAAGGAACCCCATCAAGCAGAGCCCCTTTGTGTCCCTGAGACCTAAAGGGCTACCACCTCTGACCTTCAGGCCTTAAGGGTCTACAGTGCAGGACCCCCTGGGCCCCTGCCCAAAGTTGCTTATGGACAAACAGCCATGTCTTCTGTAAGAGTGATGAGTGGCACCTCCCCAGGAAAATCACAGAGGCCCAGGGCCTCGTGGGAATACAAAGAATGTAAAAATCAGAATCAGAAATTCCAGTGCCAATGTGGACAGAGCTCCGGGCTTTTGCACGGACACCACTTAGCCCTGACCCCAAGGCATGATTCCCTGAGACCGTGTGTGCACCCGGCACTGCTCTGGGCACTAGACGTCCCTCTCCCCTATTAGGACAGCCAGCCCCTGATCTAGAGGGCTAAACAAGCCAGTGGATTCTGGTGAGCAGGATTCTGTCCTCACTCCCGATGTTCTGGGTTGCCCAAAGTGGCTGGCCTCTCCATTCTCAGCCTCAGTTTCCCAGCCCAGGTAAGTGACCGTTGTCCACTCCTTGCATTAGAGCTACAGAGTTTCCATAGTGACCAACACCACAGGAATGAAGCAAGGTGACAGAAGGGACTCAAGTTTCAAGTGGAAAGGAAACAAAAGCCAGGACTGGCCCAGCAAAAAAAGTCAGCCCCAAGGACAAAAATCCCACCCACCCCTGTGCCTCACGCAGCCCACAAGGAGTCAGTGCCCCGCACCATGTCCACCTGGTTCCCAAAGGACACAGGCTTGTCCCCAAGAGAAGAGCCCATGGAGAGGCAGGCCAGGGAATGGCTCTGGGGAGGGAGGAGAGATCGGAGAAGAGACGATGGGAGGACGGGCAGAACGGGCCCTCAGTCCCGAGATGCCACCCGCCTGCCCACGCTCCCAGGGCCTGCCACCCCCGCCGCCTCTCCTGCTGTGTCATGACGCTACCCACTCCTCCTTTTAAAGACCTCTGAGGGACGTGGGTTCCAGTGAGCTGGGTTCTCATTGCTTTGGACATATTTGGTGGGAATGACAGTGCCCATGCCAAGGTAATAGAGAAGGGAGGGGTGTCCCAGGTCAAGAGGAAAGGTGGCACAGTTTACGAACGTACTTTCTGAGCCCAAAAATATGTTCCCCACTGAAATACTCTCTGAAGAGAGCCCTCAGGTCTAGGCCCACTCCCATCCCACAGCCCACGCCCTGGTGCGCTCCTGAACGCCACACCTGCCACACCTAGAACGCTGGCTCTGGGATCAGACGCAGCTGGGCTGGAGTCCTGCCCTTGCCCCTCCTGTATTAACCTGGGAAAGTTATTCAATTCCTCTAAGCCTCGGCTTCTTCATCTGAAAAAAATGTCCCAACAGAGAATTTTGTTAGGATTAAATGGAGTAATTATAGAAATAATTTAGTACCATTGCTTATATATAGTAGTTGCTCAATAATGTCAGGTCTGAATCTTCCTCCTCCGTCCCTGAGGAGAAATAACTCCCCCACCGCCCCCCACACACGCATGCACATACGGACGTACACCCCCACTGTCTATAAAGTTACAATGGGCCGGCCCTCCATTCCTACAAGACAGACGCAGGTGACACACATGCCCCCTCATGTGGAGGAGACAGGCAAGTCTATAGAGTAAGAGGCTCAAACCAGCCAGTCCCTTTGATCTCCTCCAGTTCTCACCCATGCGTCCAGGCTTCTCAGTGAACCCTCCCGGTAACCAAACCAGGCAGAATGAGGTAGCACCTGCTGCAGAGACGTGCACACAGGGAGGCCATCAGTACTGTCTGGCTGGGGCACCTGGAGATGCTCGACAGAAGCGGCAGCACCTTTGCTGGACCTGGCAGAATAGAATCTAAATGGGTAGGAAATAGGAACAGCATTGCAGGCTGAGGAAAGGGTCTGAGCAAGCACGTGGAGGAACAGATGCACTGTGAGTTTGGGGTCTGGCAAGAGGCCCAAGCCTGGGAAGGTGGATGAGGACCATATGGGGAGACCTAGAAGGCTCTGTCAGAGGCTGGGCTTGTTCTGCAGGTAAAGGGAGCTCTAAAGACTTTTCAAGGAGAGGAGTGACATTATCTGACCTGTGGTTTCATGCAGACCCCTCAGGTGGGACCTTGGAAGGACTTCCCAGAGAAGGAGAGCCTTTGACTGAATTAAAAGACTGAAACTTAGAGACCATCAGCCCAGCCTCTGGACTAGGCACAGAAAATAAACCACCTCGCCAAGACCTGCCACAGGTTATAGGCAGGGTCTAGACTGGGCAGGATGCCCCTTCCTGTATCCTGTGCTGTCTCCCTGAGGGTGAAGAGCAGCCTCCCACCCCTCTGCTCATCCGACTCA